TAACCAGAATATATAAAGTGTAAGTTTAGTAATCAAATGAGTAATAATGAGGTATATGTAAAAATTGGGGAACACGAACTGAACACGTCTAAAAGTTTAAAATATTTAGGATCAATTCTAGAAGATAATGACAACATAAATAAGGATGTAACACATAAAATTCAATCGGGATAGAACAAGTGGACGTCTTGTCGTCGATACTTTGTGATCGTAAAGTACCAGCGAGTTTGAAAGGCAAGTTCTATCGATCGGCCATTTGTCCGACAATGCTTCATGAATCTTAGTTTTGGGCAACTATATATGAAAACGATAAAAAAAAGCGAGTGATAGAGATGATAATGTTAAGATGGATGTGTGAGCATACTAGGTTAGATAAGACTAGATATAAAAGTATTAGAAATAAAGTTGGGGTAGCGTCCGCAGACGAGAAAATGAAAGAATCACGATTAAGATAGTTTGTGCATGTGCGTAAGAGAGATTTTGAGCCCTCGGTGAAAAGAGTAGAAACATTAGAATTAAGAACGCAAATTAAGAGAAATGTGTGAGCATACTAGGTTAGATAAGACTAGAAATGAAAGTATTAGAAATAAAGTTGGGGTAGCGTCCGTAGACGAGAAAATGAAAGAATCACGATTAAGATAGTTTGTGCATGTGCGTAAGAGAGACTTTGAGCCCCCGGTGAAAATGGTAGAAACATTAGAATTAAGAACGCAAATTAAAAGAGAAAGTGGTAGACTTAAAAAAACTTGAAAGAAAAGAATAAAAAATTATTTAAAATATTAAATTTGAATGAGGATATATGTTTTGATCGAGCACGATGTCGACATATGAGCCATATAGCCGACCACACTTAGTGAGATTTTAACGGCTTGTGTTGTTGATTAAGAGATATAAAAAATAGTTTTAAAGCCACCGTAAAACCCCCCTTAAAATAGCATGAATAATTGTAATTATAATTTTAATATTTTCCACCTAATTTTGCTGGTCATGATAACGCAATTGCAAAAATGTTACATTATGTATTACATTTCATACGATCAGTTACTGATCAAACTTAAAAAATGTGATACCATTATTTAAAATATAATTTTAATATTACATAATACGAGGAATGCTCCCCTACCCACGGTGGACACATGTTAATATGTTCACCGCTTATGTGTCATGCACACATTGGTGATGTATTTTTTTAAACATATTAACATCACCAATGTGTGCATGACACGTAAAGCAGTGAGCATATTAACACGTGCCTACCGTGGGTAGTGGAGCACTATCTTACATAATATATATAACTTGATGAGACAAAATAATCAACTCACTCATGTTGCCGGTCGAACCGCCTCATTCCGATTGCGTGGGAGTTCGGACGTCACAATCGCCTTCGTCTTAAAAAACCGGATCGACCTGCAAAGCACCAGGAAGGGGCCCCGACGTAGACACTCCGACGTTCAAGTCAAAAACAAATATTTTGATCGTGTATCTCACATAATCATAATAGCTTAGAATTAGAAAATGAACCTGGTCCCTTATTTATAAGGTGTGTAATAACTTATTACCCAAGAAAAAAGGTTTCCTTAATAACCAATGAGTCTAATTATCCCAAATCACCATGTGTATAAATATCCTTTAGGAATATTTCTTAAATCTTCATGGATATTTTTAACCCACATGTATCGCATAAATGTGCTCTACGCTTCCTTGGACCGGCCTTATCCGAGCTAACCGCTCAGGCAGGTCCACCGAGTTATTTTTGGTGCTACATCATAACTTATAATACTATATTAATATATGTATATTTGCACATGATTGAATATTAATAAAAATACAATGTGAGATAGATCATTAAATAATATGAAGAAATGGGCTCAATTAATTATTGCTAGCTAAAAGGATGGTAGAATTGATAAAACATCACTTGCATTGCTAAAACATGTAATGCAAAAACACATAGCAATGAACGGTTTACATGTATAAAAGAAAGACCCCAACAAAACGTTATAAAAAGGCCTCTAAATCACATAACAAACGAGGCCTACTAAGAACTTGTTGAAAAGGCTTCTAAAACAAAGACCAACAAACAATCCTTCTAAATTCATGTGCTTCATAGTGCCTCTCAAGCCATCCACCAAACTAAAAAACCTTGCACTAAACTAATAAAGCTATGGGATAACTCACTTTACAACAGAAAGGTAAGTAACTATAACATGGCCAAATGCTGAAATTTGAAACCATGAAAAAAAGATGCAAAAAAAAATTAAAAAACCCTTCTTCAAAATGAACCCACATAGCCAAACATGTTTCCAAGGGATCTCTTCAAATGGTGGAGGCTTCACAGACCTTATAGCCATGATGAAGGCAAAAACGGATATTCGAGAGGAAATATGTGGTGAAAAGGATACTATTGTAGCTAAAGGTTCCATATGGAGCATCTGCAAACTCTTAAAGAAAGTGAATTCTCACTTATTTATCTCTTTAGAGTTTATAGGAACACTTCCATTCGGAGGATACCGAGTGCGCTTTCACATGAACAATTTGAGCGCACGGCTTAAGTTTTTCTTCAGTTCCTTCATGTCCAAGGCGAATCTTTCCTCCTTCTGCAAGAATCAAATTCAAGCACATCAAGAATCTATTAGAATTTTGCACCATGCAACATATAACCAAGTCGAACGAATGTAAAATTTACATACCTTGGCAAGTAATGTTATGTTGATAGCAGAATCTCCGAATGCCATTACACAACTGTTGACAACCGATAAATCGAGCTTCTCAATCTCGGCAACGGCTTTTTCCAGCACACCTTTTCTTTTCTCACAGTTGATGATGATGAGGACATCCTTGTCACAGAATCTTGCCTGAATCTCTGGGAGTGGCTCAGTGGCTGCAGGGGCAAAACTGGAAAAGTTCTCCTCCGTGCAGCAACTTTCGCCGTCGGTGCAGATTTCGTATTTCTTGACAAAAACCAACTTTTCGGTCGACTTTATCTTAGTTTGTTCCTCGAGGACCTTTATTTTCTCCTGCAGTTGTTTTAGGTACTTTACGGCATCTCCAAGAACAGAAGCCTTGTCCATCTGTTCACATATTGCAAAGAAATTGTAAGGATTACTAATTAATTATCGATCGAGTGCAAGAAAATAAAATATATATTATATATACCTTTTTCAGTCCCGGGACAAGGGCAGACAGGGCAATGAACCTCTGGCTGATCTTCTCTCTCCTCTTTCTCTCAGCCAAGATATGATCATGTGGAGTTTGGGCCGCCATTCTCGTGTTTGCCGTGCTAGTCACTCTCTTACCGGGCTTGGTAAAGTGATCCTGGTTACCAAACGAAGCAATACTCTCACAAGGTGGGTTCATGGTGTTGTAATAAGAATACCATATTGTCTCCTCTTTAGGCTTCACCATTCCTAGTGATGGATTAGTGCTGAGATTTGAGTACTCCGAAACAAGCATGTTTTCAGCTGTGCAAGAATCCCAGTTGGTCGTGGGCTTTAGCTGCTTGGATGGCCTATTTGGCCACGGCCCGGGAGATTCCGCGGCCCGTTTGAAGTCCAGTACCGGCTGCTGCTGCTGAGAGAAAGTGTGTTGGAAATTTTCATAGATTAAAGAGGCAATGGACTCTGTGCTGAGCTCCACATGGCAATCGTTTGCCGGCCATTGATGGGAGTATAAGGCGTCATCAACTCCCTATAATTAGAAAACGAAAAAGCCGATGAGAATCGATACTTTCTTTTTTCGATAATAAGGTTGAATTTTGCCTTACCAAATCAGGTAAGCATCTGAAGCTTGAAGTCTCCATAATATATCCTAACTTGAAGAAATTAAAACCTGCATGAAAATGGATTGAAAAGCGTTAATATAAACAGGAATGAAAGAGATTAATGCAGAAGGCTATGAATTAAATCCAGAATTGTTGGAGTTATTATGAAAAAATGGATAATTTTGGACCTCACAAATCCAGAATTGTTGGAGTTATTATGAAGGTTTGGTCAATAAATATAGGTACAACAAACAATTTTGTCTCTTTTTTTATAGCAAAATGTTACACGCTCGAATCTAATGATTTTCAACTTAATTGGTCAGTAAAGTCTTCACGGGGCTTGGTGATGTGAGCTGGCTTGTAGACTTTTTGAGCCTCTTTTTCCTCAATAATATCAACAGAAGCTACGATATGGTTGGTAACAATGAATTTTCTATGAGTATAAAAAAACATCTTTTGTCATCTTTTGTCGGTGTTCCAATAAAATTGCAGAGGATCTCCATCTACCCTAGGAAAGTCGAAGCCTTTAAGTCCAAGTACTCTACCAAAAATTCGGCAATTACAATATTTTTTTTTTGTACAAAGAAGGAGACAAGTGCCTTAAAACTACAATCCGTCGAGGGTGGGCGATCCCTAAAACATCGTGATCCAGCCACTATGGTCCGGAAGTGATGTATTTTAACTATTTAATTAATTAGTATATCAGATTGGTGATATATATATCGATCCATTATATAACGTACCCGACATAATAATTAGAATATGTAAATACTTAGTGGTATAGCACATAAGAATAGCTCGGTAAACCGGTCAAGACTAGCTTGGTTTATGGAACATAGTTAGTTAAGACGATGTGTTGACGAGTAGTTTCGCTGGAATCGATAGCTCGGACTATGAGGAGTTCGGACCATAGCGCTAATATGGGGAAGCCTGGTATTCAGGTAGCTAGGTCATGCGTGGGAGTTGGAAGTGTTAGGAGCTCGGTTTTTGAGAGTAGCTTACAAGGTAGTTTGGCTGTTTGGAGTTCTGGAAGTGTTTATGAGCTCGGTTTAGAGTAGCTCGGCTTACAAGGTAGCTAGGTTGTTCGTGATTGGAAATGTTATGAGCTCGGTTTGGAGTCTTAGAAGGAAGACCGACCTATGGTGACGCATACAGATTAAAGACCGACCTAGTGAGGCGGTTACGAAAAGTGGTCCACAAGAAACACGTGTAGGGTCAGGATAAAAATAGAATAAATAATCTGACGGAAGAAGAATAAAGCGTACTAAGGTAGCTAATTGATTAGTCGAGAAACGTGCTCGCTTTGATTGTTTAATTTTGTAATAGTGCACGTTTATTTACCCGCATTTATAAGATTTTCGACTTATTTAATATTATGATCGATTGTGGTGCCTTGATGAGTTTCTTGAGTGTTTTCAGAGTTTTGGAATTATTCTTGGCAAGTGACGACGTTGAATGCAAGACGTGAGCTCGACAAATTTTTGTTTGATGTAGTACTGGGGTACCCAGTATTTCGCTCCAGCCCCCAGTACTCCTGCTACAGTTAATTAATTTGGGCTGAATTTATTTAAGTGGACGAGATGGGTCACGTATTTGGGCTAAGTCTTGGAAGAGTTTCAATATTTTAAAGCCCAACTCACGGAAATTAATTGCTGGGAAGGAATTGTTTGTGATTGGAAAGAAAGCACTCCACATTGGGGTATATTTATTTTACTCAGAGAACATAGAAAAGGCAGCCACACGCAAAACCTGGGGAGCCGCCACTGATCAGAGAAGAAAACAGATACGCGAACAGAGAACGGAGCAGACGCGAGGAACCGATCAAAAGCGGAGGGAGACCGCACCCGTATACGAGGGAGATAATTAATCTCTCTCTTTTATTTATTTTTTTCTTTTTATTTATTATGATAGGATAATTTTTATTTCTAGTTCCGGGGAAGTTGAACCTTACGACTTGATGATGTTTGATTGATTTATATGGTTGATGATTTTAATATTTGTTTGGAATTGCTTGTGTTATTTTGAATAATTAACCATGATGTGTTGATTCTTGTTTAGATTGATCACCTAGATTAGACTTTACATATCTACACCTGAATTAGGCCTTCAATCCGTAATTGTTGATGTGTTTAATTCGCAAGTGGTATCCGGAAGATGGTAACTACCGGGGATAACACAACCTAAGTAAGTGAATGAAAATTTCTCTACTTAGTCTAGCCTATTTTTCTAAATCGTAAAGCGGCTAATTGAATTAAATTTAGGAAGCGTTTCCTAGACTGTTCAAGAGGTCAGATTTAATCGTAGAGCGTCTCGCGGTTAGATTAAAAATAAGGAAAAATTCGGGTAACAGACCGTGTCGTTGCCTAGGGCTAGTAATTTCATAAGATAGCGAGATTTGATACTAAAGTTGATTAGACGAGTCAGTCGAGGGTGTAGATGGAACCGTGAACTAGAAATTTCTCTTATTTTATTTTATTTTATTTTATTTTTATTTCCTTTGTTTAGATTTTATTTGTTTCATTAGAATCTTAGTTTTAATCCAATCCCCCCCTTTACCGCTTTTATAAATTCAATTAATACGAAAAAATTCACAATCTGATTCACACTCCCTGTGGGTTCGACCTTTACTTGCCACTACTACTAGTTAGTAGAGGTTTGTCGAGGAAAAATATAAATATTAATTTTGCCGCGTTGCGACGCGCGGTCACTAATAACTCCTTATAAATAGGTAAAAAGAGGAAATAAGGTAAGGATAATCAAAATCTATACACTATACTATTCGATACAGCTTTCTCTAACCATTTACTGGCTTGATCGTCGAAGGTTTAACGCCGAGAACACCTCCCGACATATTTGCAGGTTTCCGAGGAACAAGCGGTCGAAGATCAGTGGAAGACCGGTTCGAGGTGCGAGGGCACATCAATTATGTAATATATATATTTCTTAGCCTTAGTACATAATCTATATTAATGTATTTTTATGAGTTATATAATGTATATAAAATGTTATTTTGACATTACATATCTCAAAAATAGTATATGGTTTGAAAATGATAACAATATATGAATTATTATAAATTATATTAGTCTATGGGTGGAACATACTGGATAAATATATCATCAACTTCACAAAGGCATAGGGATACAACTAGCATAAAAAAAAAAATGGATAAAACAATAAAAAATAATAAAAGCGAGAGATGTGGCTAAGTTGTGAGCGACCAAATCACTCTGTCTACAAAGAAGCCCGCATTTAATGTGAGCTACCACTCACCAGCTTGTGATGAATCAAAGAATCAAATGATATGTCAACTACGCGTATATTCTAACCGCAAATATATATATTCTTAATCAAACCACAACGTGTACTTCATAGGCTACGGATGATTCCTTCTTCAAGATAAAGATTTCGATTCTAAAAAGTATCATTTCACATGCGTGTAAATAAATTACAATTCTACTATGAATATCGACAATTTATGGTTGAAAATCTGAAACATCTAAATTAGCTCTCCAAGATCTCTATTTTCATGCGGAGACTTACAAAAGATGTCGGGAGATGTTGATGAAGATGTAATCATCGACCCTTTTGGACCCGACGACTTCACAAATCGGGTCAAGATATAGGATTCATTGTCAGATGTTTCCGACGTTAAGATAATAAGAAAAAACTATATAGAAATAAACTTAAAGCTTAGACTGTAAAAAAAGGATTCACTTTTACATTGTTTCAATTTTACCTATTTATAAAATGTTATGAGCTAGCTAAACAATCTTCTCCCCTGCCCGCCCGCGCAAATTCCTACCCCCAAGGGGCTGCCCGTTGGTCACCAGGCTGCCCGTAGGTCTTTACGTTAGTTATTTGGCTTCATTCTTACTCGTCCGATTACTTCTCCTTTTCATTCATAACCCTAAACGTGTCCTCTATTGACAACTATGATTCGATCTACTATACAGGTCGATCTGCTTCCAATTAGGGCAGCAACGACCTTGGGGTAGGGCGGGCCGGGCGATCG